CCGCGGCCGGCCCCCCGCCTCCTGCAGTTGTATCAAGCAGCTGGAGAATCGGTGATGGATTTCCATAGCTGAGACTGTCCGTTTCACAGGTAGATGAGCACCTTGCCGTGTGTCCTGAAGCAGAACAAGACTGTCCTTTCGAGCACTATGGCTGTACTGTAACGGTAGGAAACTTCTTTGCCTCCTGCCTCTGCATCCTACTGTGTCACTCATTTGAAGAGTTCATTTCCCTCTTTCACTCCATTCAGGATGCTGAAGAACATACAGTTCTTGAGATTTTTAAGACTGGCGGTTGTTTATAATTCTGACTCCACTGCCTCTACCAGGTTTTGGGACTTTCTGGAATCACTCTTCCCATGATTACAAACCCAGGCTTTATGGTACCTCAGTGGATTAATCAAGTATTTTGAAACGAAATTTATTTGAAATCATCTTTAAAAATGTATGCTATTGCCTTCTAAATACTTTCAAAGGTATTATTCAATCAATTATATAAAATAAAACTTGATCCCTACCTAAGTCCTTTTAACAAACTATAAAATCTATCATGTTCTATATTATCATTAGAAATTTTCTGTAAATCTAGAATTACTCCAAAATGAAGTTTATTTAAAAAATCATAAACCTACTAGAAAAGAATACAAGTGAATCTTCTTTGTATTCTTGAAATAAAGAAGACCCTTCTAAGATAACTGACAGAAAATCGAGAAGCCATAATTTTGATGAGTTTAACCACAAATAGTAAAAGCTTCTCTATGATTTTTTAAGGACCCCTGGTGACGCAAATGGTTAAGTGCTTGGCTGCTAACAAAAAGGCTGGTGGTTCAAACCCACCCAGCGGCTGTGCGGGAGGAAGACCTGACAGTCTGCTCCCATAACGATTACACCCTCTACAATCCTACGGGGCAGTTCTGCTCTGTGACATGGTTCACTGTGAGCTGGAATCGACTTGATGGCACCCAACAACAACAACATATGATTTTTTTTAAATACCACAAATAAAGTCAAACGGCAAACCACAGGCTGGGGGAAAAGAGCTGCAACAACAAAAGGGGCTATTTTTGTTAATATACAAAAATTCTTATATGTTATTCAACTTACTGGAAAAATAGGCAAAGGGATACATAGACAGTTGAAGAAAAAAATTCATATGGCTGATAGACGTAAGGAAAGATGTTCAGTCTCACTCTTATAAATTATAATAATTTTCAAAACACAATAAAATTTTTTAAAAGAAGGCAACTTCACAATACAGATCAAGAGCCATAAAAATTGTTTATACCCTTTGATTGACTAATGGCACACAAATGAATTTCCTGCAATAAAATAATCAGTAAGAGGAAAAAATATTATAATAATTGTCACCGTCTAATTTTACCATCACATTTAATAACATCCAGCTTTTTTAGGGAGGTTTGGTTATATCTATGAAAATAAAAGCAGACCCACCTATTGACTTCCAGCTCCACTGCTAGGAATCTGTGTCATAGATGTCCTTTTGTAAGTGTGCAGTCATTACACACAGATGCAGCCACATACACAATGATGTTTATTATAGTATTGCTTGTATAGCAAAAAAAGAAAATCCAGAAAACTAAAAACAACCTTAAGTCCATCCCTACAGGACTGACTATATAATTATGTATTCATATTTTGGAATATTATGCATCTGACAAAAAGAATGAGGTGTATCTCTGTGTTTAATTTGTATTAAGTGAGTAAATAAGTTGCAGAATATTAAATATAGTGTGATCTCGTTTGTGTAAAAATGTATATGTGTCTTCCCTGACTCTGGTGAATGAGACAAAGAACTAGGAGGGTGGAGAGAAGAGGACATTTACTTTTCATTCTGCATCTTGCTATATTATTTGACGTAAGCAAATAGTGCTCTTATTTTAAAAAAGCTATTTGAAAAATATGTACATATTACGAAAAACTTTTAAAAGAATTCAGCAAAGAGTACATAAGTTTGTCACATATCAGGCTGGTGGTTGGGTGTCTTGGCTGCAGAAATGGATAGGATTTACCTTACTAGTGCATGAAATGCAGTAGGAATAGCTTTCTATCTCTGAAAGGAGTCTTAACAGCTAGGCCCAGAACTCTAGTTGGGTTGTGTTCTAGAGCTTCCTTAGTACCAGAGCGGAGGAGGGCCGGGAGGTTCTTCTCTGGAGCTCTATTTAGGACAGTCTTTCCCCAAAGGGATCAGCCCTAACCTGAAGGGACATTGCTGATGAACGTCTGTTTAGAGTTCATAGATCACTTGGAAAATGTACGATTTGCTTTTGCATGGAGTCCCTGGGTAGCGCAAACAATTAAGTACTTGGTTATTAACTGAAAAGTTGGTGGTTCGAATCTACCCAGAAGTGCCTCAGAAGAAAGGCCTGGCAGTCTACTTCCAAAAGAGCACAGTCATTGAAAAACTCTATGGAGCACAGTTTTACTCTGACACACATGAGATTGCCATGAGTCGGAATCAACTTGACAACAACAACAACAAAAAAGGCAGTTTGCAGTTAAATTAATGGTCAAGGAAAAAGTAGCCTTTTTTTTTTTTGCAAATGTGTCCTATGATTGCGAGGGCAACAATTTGCATGGGCTGGAATTAAAAGCAGGTTGCATACCTTCTGCCCCAACCCCAAGACAGTGATGGGAAGAAGCCTAGAAATGTGATAGGAAGGAGAACTAGCCTACGATTACAACTGAGCTGGAGAGAACCCCTCAAGGAGATAGATTTTATATGGGAATAGTTGAAAGATGATGATAACTACATTTAACCCACAGCCATATATCCGCAGAGCAGGTAAGGAAATCAACGCAAATAATGAGGAGTAGATTCTCTGTCTTTGTAAGTATAAGGTTATCTCATGGTGCTGTCAAATCCTAAAGCTGCAGAGACTTAGAGGAAGTCATTTTTCCTGCAGCCCACCTGAGACAGGCTACACTATTAAAGTAAACAAAGTGGTGAAGGTTCTGTTGTAGCAGATTGCCCCACCCTCCCTCAGTTTTGAAACCTTTTAACAACCTGAGTTATTTTTCTCTCCATGTCGAAGGATAAACGGGGGAACCTGAAGGAACATGAGCATTCAGCGTTGCGGGACCACATGCTTCTGGTATTAGAAAAGAATATCCAATTAGAGGAACAGGTAAATACTCAAGGGTTCAAATATGAAGGAAGGCCACAGAATTGCTGGGAGTTGCCTGCTTTATGTTGGTATTTTTATATTCTCTGTTTCAGTATAAGTCAGGTGGAGGGAGATGTTTGTCTTCTAAGTAGTAAGATAGACTCAGGATTGTAGACTATTAGAACTGGTGGTGCCTTTGAGATTGTTGGGTCCGGTCCCCTCATTCAACAGATGGAATAACTAAGCTCAAAGACTTTATGCTGTGTTTGTAATTTGTGAGTGGCAGAATTGGATCTTAAACTCATGTCCCCTGATTCTGAGTCCAGCACTTCTCATGGTATACCACACTGCCTCTCTAAAGCTTGTCCACACACCTTTTAGTTGATACCTGGCACATAGTAGGTGCTTCATGTGTTTAAATTAAATCAGTATTATCATGAAACAATTGACTATCTGTTCTAGAGTTGTTATATGTTCTGGGTTTTATATATATTTTGTTAAATCTTAGCTCTCTCCTTGAGAAGGTTGCAACCTGATCAATACGTACCAAAAACAAAGCAAAACCCGTTGCTGTCAAGTTGATTCCAGCTCATAGCAACAGCGCCCCTATAGGAAAGAGTAGAACTGCCCTGTAGGGTTTCCAAGGAGTGGCTGGTGGATTCAAACTCTGCCAACCCTTTGTTTAGCACCCGAGCTCTTAAACACTGCACCACCAGGGCTCCATAAATACATGCATACATACTATTTCATAGAGTTGTAATAATCAACTGAAATTATATGCCTGGGACATTCATAGTAGACCTCAATGAATGCTGATTGTATTGAGTAATTATGAAAGTTAATTATTTTGTTAGAACCTCTCCGAGGATCAGACTTACCAAGCTCACAAAGGGAAGAAAACCATCTGCAGAGAGGGAGCTGGATTTTACTACTGCGGATTATTTTATTACGTCTCTGATTCCATATTAAAAGTAAGCATGGGAGTTGCACAGAGTCAGATCCTGGAGGAATTAGAAAGACTGATAAACACTGTGACTTTGGCAGAAGGCACTCTGCCTCGTAACCATCCCCAAGTTCTTTTTATCTCAGTCGCCTCTTTCACCCATCCATTCATTCAGCAGACACCTTCCATATGTCAGGTACTGTGCTAGTTGCTAGAGAAGCTTAGTTGAGGAAGGCATAGCCCTCACCCTGAAGAACTCACAGCAATATAAACAGATTACTGAGCCTCATAGGACATGCTCTACTCAGTCGGGTGCAGAGGCTACAGCAGTTTACTAAACTCAGGGGTGTCCTTCCCTGAGGACATTGAGCCGAGCTTTGAAGGAAAAGAAGGTTTGTCGATAAAATTATGGGAGAGGAGGACATGCCAGAAGAACAAAACTTGAGTCAAGGCAAGGAGGCATGAGAGAGGCAGATGGTTCCAGGAAGTGGGATTCCAGAGTGTGAGACTGGAATGTCTGGAGACTGGTATGCTGCGTTCAGATTGCGATGGCCTTACATGGAGGCTAAGAAGTTTAGAATATTGTGCTTTCCATTATTTTTTTTATTCATTCATACTTTTCCTTGTTTGAGAAGGGATTTAAGGGCCAAAAGTTTGAACTAATGTTTGTAAGTAACCAAAACAAACCCATTGCCTTTGAGTTGATGTGACTCAGCATCCCCACGTGTAGCAGAGTAAAACTGCTCCATAGAGTTTTCTTAGCTGTAATCTTTATGGAAGCAGATCACCAGGCATTTCTTCCGAAGTGCCACTGGGTGGGTTTGAACTGCCAACCTTTTGGTTAGTAGATGAGTGCAAACCATTTAGTAACAGGGAGTTAACTGAAGATTTTAAGTAGGAAAATGCTTGGCCAGCTAATTGTTTGTTTGGTTTTTAAAAGGAAGACAACTGGTGGTAGTGTGGAAGATCAGTAGGATGGAGAGAAGAGAATGGAGACAGAGGGACCAAGCAGAAGGATGTCACAATAATCTAGACAGTGTAGCAGTGGAGCCTGGTAATTGATAAGAGTGAGGACTCTAGAGCCAGAATCCCTGGCTTCAAGCCCTGGCTCCACACTAACCGTGTGAGGTGGGACAAGCTACTTAACCCCCCCTCTTGCCCAATTTCCTCATCTGGGTTGTTGTGAGATAATAGCATTTAGCACAGTGTTTGGAACTAGTAAGCATTTCAGTATTAGGTGGAGGCAAGGTGTTGGAGGTGATGGTGATGATGATGAAGGCTCTACCACGGCTGTGTCTGTAGGGATGGACGCAGGGCATGGAGAGACATTTCTGAGGTTGGAATGGCAGGATGTAAGCTTGGAAGGTAGAAAGCCTGGTTATGTTATTAACTGAGATGGAAATTACAAGAGCAGGAGCAGATTAGAGGTAAGAGTGGGGAGAGGAGACACTGAGTGTGCTTGTGGACAGGAAGATCTGTCTGGAGGTACATAGAAGTCTGCTCAGGGGTCTGAATAGAGGTATCCAGAGCTGGAGATGAGGTGATTGTTACAGCTTCTTGTGCACTCATTGATAAAACATGTACCAAATGCCCCTGGTGTGCCAGGTACTGTGCTGGACACTAGGGATACAGACATAAGTGAGACATAGCCTCAAGAAACCGTTTAGTAGAGAAAACAGACTACCCCCCCAAAAAAAGCAAGTTATAAGAGTAATAAGGATGTTACACATGAGTTATCAACAGGATAATCAGCCCTGGTGGGGCAGTGGTTAAAGTGCTCAGCTGCTAACCAAAATGTTGGTGGTTCGAACCCACCAGCCACTCCAGGGGAGAAAGATCTGGCAATCTGCTTTTGTAAAGATTTACAGCCTTGGAAACGCTATAGGCAGTTCTGCTCTGTCCTGTGGGGTGACTATAAGTCAGAATTGACTCAATGACAATGGTCTTTTTTTTTTTTTTTTTTAATGGACAGGTGTCATGGAACTCTAGAGGCGGCCTGGGTGGTGGTACTATTATTAAGGAAATATTTCTGAGAGGATGTGCCCTTGAGTGGAGCCTTAAAGGGCTGTAGTTTCTAGCTGAAGGGGGAAGGTGTCTGAGAGAGCAGGACCTGAAGGGAGATACAAGTTGTTAGTCTTGCTGGGCGGCGTGCAGGTGGGCTGGGAATGGACAAGCGGCTGAAAGAGTAGGCAGGCAGAACTTGTAGGGCCTGCCTGGCTGCAGAAGAAAGCCTCTAGAGATGTTCAAGTAGGGGAGTGACCAGACCAGATTTGTTGCTTAATATTAATCTGGACACAATATATGAGCATGACTTGGAGGAGAGCAACACTAAAGGCAGGAGCGCATGCATGCATTCATTCATTCAGCAAATATTTATCCAGCACCTGCTGGTGCCAGACACAGTCCAGTTGCTGGGGTCACACCGGTGGACAGTGAGGTCCGCGCCTGTCCCAGCTCCCACGGAACTTACCGTCTGTTGTGTGTGTGTGGAGAGAGGGTCAGAGGGAGCTTAGGAAGGAAGCAGTTATAGCAGCTGTTGTTGGGGAAAAACATCATAAAGTTGAGTAAAGCAAAAGAAAGTTTTATTCGGCATATATTCAAAAGGGCAGAAGTGGTAAACGAACAACCATGCTACCAGAGCCATGTCTGTCCAAGTCCAAAGAAAAATCACAGAATAAGCAAGAATGAGAAAACGGACACACATGCTGCCACAGCCATGTCTGCCCAAGTCCAAAGACCATTACAGAATAGGCAAGAATGGGAATACGGACACGTATGCTGCCATAGCCATGTCTGCCCAAGTCCAAAGAATATCACAGAATAGGCAAGAATGGGAAAACGGACAAGCATGCTAGCACAGTCATGTCTGTCTGAGTCCAAAGAACCATTACAGAGTCATCAGTATATATTAACATTACAAATGGGCAAAACCATTGAACGCTTAGCCTTTTCAGATTGGCTAGAAACTGTGATCCTACATTTTGAATTGTCTTTCTTAACAATCACTGGTACAGGTTTCAGTAGCAAGAGTCAGGAGGGTCTTCACTGGGTGCAACAAATTTCTATTCACTAAATGCTAATAGAAAAAGTTAAGAGTGGAAAGTCTTTTATGTTCTGTTTGATTGGCTTTATGTGAAAGTTTCCCCTAAAAGATATTTTCCAAGATTATTTTAGCTATTGTCTTTATACCTCAGGGCCCAGTTGATGTGTCCTTGTGAGACCTTGTGGGCTCAGCTCCAGCTGGTTCACATTCTGAATGCTCAAGGAGAGGGAATAATAACTCCAGTATTATTTCCTAAATCACAGCCCAGGTGAGAAATAATGAAGCCTGAAACTAGTACTGGAATGAGATGAAGTAAATGGATTTAAGAGTTTTTTTTGTTTGTTCTATTGTGTTTTAGGAGTTAAGTTAGCAAATATTAACTGACTGAATGGCTGTGGGGATGAGAGGAGTCATCTAGGGTCAGTCTTAAGTTTCTGGTTGTTTCTTTCAAATAGATTGCCAAATCTGAGTAGCGTGTTTTGCCTACCACTTGTGAGCTATATGCTGGGCAGGTTACTTAAACTCTCTGCCTCCATTTCCTCATTCATAAAATGGGACTGATATTCATACTGTTACCCGAATAGGGTCTGTGCCCTGGAGCAGTCGAGCCAATGAAACATACTTCAAGTCAAAAAAGAATGAGAAAGTTTTATTTTAGGAGGTGTCCACCACTGGGCATCCGACAGCAACACAGGCTGTTTCTATGGAGTCCCAAAGGCATTTTTACATTAGAGTTTACATATGATTTTTACCAAGGTTATAAGTGTTGTTATACCTTGTAAGGTAATTACAAAAGACTCTTTATCATACTAAAGGGATACAAGCCAGACATTTCTTTATCAGGCTAAAGATATATATATCTGACATCTGGGCTCTAATCTTCCTGTGGGGGGTTGTAAGCCACGGGTGGCCAGACGGAGCAAAATAAAGAAAGAGAAAAAAACTTATAGGTTCATCATGGTGTTAGTTACGTCAAGTTCTTGGTTGCCCATTTTGAAAAGGAGAAAACATGCTGGGGAGTATTCGGGTCACATATTCCCCCCTTTTGAAGCTTGAGTGGCCATATACACCCATCCCAAGTTTCAGCCTACTCTCTTAGAAAGTTTCAAGCAAAAGGATTGGGCCTTTTGCTTGTGACGGGTTTGAGCCATTTGTTAGGCAGTCTGACTCGGGACAGAGAATGCCATCTCACGTATAGGCATAAATTGGAGACAGCAACAGATTAACAGGCCTATAACAACCAAACCAATTCTACTAATAAATAAGATTTTTAGCCAGGTAAGATCTGGCAGCCAGGAGGTCAGCCAAGAAAAATCAAATCCTTAATGAATCTTGTAACAGGCCTCAAACTATAAATATGAGAATATTTTAACTCTTTCTTTTTGTGTTTAAAAATGGTGAAATTTCTCAATGTCTCTAGGGGAGTACAAATCCCAGTGAGAAAGGACTTGAGGGCTGAATTGGCATGCATCCCCCCATCCAGAGAGAAATCAGTAATGTCCAACACTCCTCTTGTAATATAGATCCCAAATTTTTCATCTTTCAACAAGGCGCCAGGGGGAGCATTTATCTTGGGGACAAGGATTCCCTGAGCGGAAGTCTCTCTCGAACCTTGTAGTAATCCCATCCAAGCTAGCATTAAAAACATTTTTACTTTTTAACCCTAGAAAGTCTTAACTTGAGGCCATCAATGGGTTGGGCTTTCCACTCCTTCCTGTCACTGTACACTGGGCAGGCCTTGATGCAGTAATGATGGATCCACAATTTGACTCCTGCAAGCTTCACAGCTGTGTGAGTGCTGAGTAGTACGGTGAAGGGTCTGCTCCACTTAGGCTCTAACAGGAGGGCCTTCTACTTTCAAAGGAGCACCTGGTCACAGGGCTGGAAAGAGTGGGCGGCTATCTCAAGAGGGAACTTCTGTCGGATTCACACTGCCCGATGCCACTGGGAAGGAATTTTGGTTAGAGAAAGCAAATATTTAGCCA